ATGTTTGGCCGAACAGTCGACTGCAAGTCCTCTTCAGAGGAAAAGGGCTCTTCTCTGGCAGTTCGGAAAGACTCAGTTCGCGACTCAACGGTAGTAGCTTTCGATACTGTGCGGTCGATAGGTATCGGTCGAACAACCTTGGGGCGAGTTGCAGGTTGGGGAGGCGTCACATCTGGCGTGGGTGGACTTTTCTGGTTCGGAGGAGTGGCTGGGGCGCGCGCTGGGGTTGTTGGTGTCTGCGATTCCGGCGCATGAGGTTCGGCGGGCGCTGGGCTTGGATGCTGGATGGAGTGAGTGCTCGATGAGGTTCGTGAGTGGGAAGGCGGTGTCGGAGGCAAATCCGGGCCACTGCCTATCCGCTTAGGTTGGTGTCTCAGTGTCTGGGGGCTTTGCTGTTGCGGTCCTCGCATTTGCGACGCTACAGCATCCACATCGAGGTCATATTTCCTAGGCGTCGATCGCACTTCATAGGAATGCGCAGAGTCGCTTGCATGTCTTCTAGGGTGCGGTAGTACTTTATGCTTTTTGAACATTCGTTGCGCCTGCAAGCCGTCTGCAGGCAAGGTCGAGACCTGTTTCTTGGACCGAACCGACATGGCGGTGGAGTTGAGGCTCGTAGCAGCAGCCATTTCAAAGGACGATGGTTGGAAGGCGTCCCAAAGGCATGCGACGCGCTTCTAATGCACGCACGTTGACCCTTCGCAGGTTAGCGAGGATGGGAGAGGGCCAGAGTTGTTTGCATGCTGAGCAGAGTGAGGTTGATGAGCGTGTTCGTGGTTGAGATGAGGAAGTGAGTGGCCGATGGCACGACGTTGGACAATTCGGTATACCGAGTGAAGGAGGGTGAAGATTGAAAATCCGGTGGTGGTAGAGACGAGGAAATTTTAAGGGTAGGCGTGAGACATTGAATCGAAAAGACCTGGTTGGTGAATCGCGTCGGAGTCCAGTGGCGTCCAGTGATCGATGGCAGTTATGAGAGAGACAGCAGAGGCGATGAGACGGAGCACAATCCTCAAGATGGCTCAACCCAGCGATATGAGACGGAATCTCTGTGGTTGAGGTAAAGAGTATGTGGTCGCAGTGGTCACGATGTACGGGCCGTGTCTTGTGCTGTAGAGAGAAGTAGGAGGAGGGGGGATGAGGCGAGGACGAATACTCGGGCGTGGGATGCGGTCCGATCGGGTGCAAGTCGCACAGACCGACGTAGGGAGAGGAGTACCTAGGAGGCCTAGACAGAGAGAGGACGGGACGATATGTGAGATTGACGCAGCGCTTCAGCCGGGCTTGGTGGAAGCGTGAAAAGGAGGACAAAAGGGCGGTCCCAGGCTTCCTGCAACCTGCGGACGGACGCTGGCGCTATTTTGGTGCAGGACACGGCTTCAGGAGGTTGAGACGACGGAGACAAGTCGACGGTTGAAAAAAGACAGACGGGAAGGATGATTGGCAGGGCGGGAAAGGGTCTGACGCAAAGGAAGAGAATGCGCCGTCTGGGGTGGGAGAAGAGAGACAAGGGCAGATCAGAGCAGCGCAGAACAGAGATGGAGCGGCAAGTATCCGGACGTGAGTAGATTGGTCGTGGCCGAGGGTTGCAGAGACGGGCGAGGAGGAAAGCTGGCGATAGGTGCGAGAAAGAAGAATGGCGGGGCGTTGCGCGCCGGTAAATGGGTACATGATACTTACATCATTGAGGTGCTAGGAACCCTACCTAAGGTAAGTATTTAGGTACCCAAGGTGAGGTAAGGTAAGGAAGGGAGGTCGAGGTGAAGTGAGGTCAATGTATCACTCCACTGCAATTACTTGCCAGAGTACATCAGGGCCGCATCTCAGTTCAATGGTACGTGGGTCCAACCTGTTCGTTTCTTGACGGCTGCGCGCGAAGAAAGACTGGGCAGCCCCGTCGCAAACTGTGCGTGTTCCGCGTGGACGGTGGATTCGGGGCCTTTCCAAACCTGCCGAGTCAAGGAGATTCCCAGTAGGTTTCTCCCGTCAGGTAGCAGTCGCGCTTTACTGTGGTAAGGCTCAAGTCCAAAAGAAGGCAGAAGAAGTTGGCTACAGAAAAATTCGGGTGGCGGGGAAAGGAACGAACAGCCAGGCAAACTGCCCTACCTTACCTTAGCACTTACGTATTCCTGGCCGAACTTACCTTACTACCTCAAGGTAAGTATCCAGTAAATTGTAAGCAGCTTTTTGCAGAGTTGTTTCACTCACCAGCTAGGGTCGGGAATACCTGCACTTGCATTTGCCTACCCTCTATCTACTCCATACGAGTACCACTGATATCGTTGACCCCCTCCCCCTTTGTTCTCCAGTCGCATTGAGTTCGTCTCGTGATGCGCACCTCTGCCAGGATACCAAGAGGAAAGGCGCGTGTGGCCCAGCAGCAGTAGCTCCGCCAGGGGGGCCGAATGGGGAACTCTTCCACCATCCCAAGTTCCCAGCTGTCGCCGTAGCGCACTACGCGGGCTCAAGTCGGCCGGGAAAAACGGGGCCGGCCCAATCCGCCCTCCAATAAGTCAATCTGCACCATCGTTGCAACGGCCTCTTATAGGTTGGATCCTGCTTGAGTGGTTGCATCGTGCTGCACGCGTGGTTTCCTTCTTCTGCAAAGCTGCAAAGCCATGCCAACTTTTCCTCTCTGGTGCATTCACCTGCTTTTCTCCCCTTTCCCGCCTGTCTCTCCCCAAATCCCCCCATCCTTTCCAAAGTAAATACTTGTTAGTATGTGCGGAAGGTATTCTTGTGCGTGTCTTCGCCTTGGTCTCCCCCCTCACCTGCTCCAACATGCCCCAGCCAGTCTGACCGATTCGGCCACATGTCCTGCAAGCCATTTAGCCCATTAGGGAGTTGCTCGCACTTTCTAACCCATAGGTATGGATTCTGAGAGCTACCCTGCCAAGCAGCTCAGTCCGTCCTCACTTTCCATGGCACCGGTCAGTGTCAAAGCTTCTTGATAGTGCGTCCTTCTTAGCTGGCTGTCAGAAGAACGGCGTGGCATCCTAGGCATCTCGCAGGCTGGATGTCTTGCTGCAAGCGAATCCCACGCCCGTGTTCAACGGCGCCATCCGGTCTCCCGTATAATAAAAAACAACTCAGATGCAGCAACAAAGAAGTCGTAACCACTTTTTCCCGTGCTTGCCCCAAACAAATCAGAACTGTGCAACTTGGCGTCCTTCTCTCAGACCTGCATGACCTTCAACAAGCCCCGAGGCGAATCAGCAACCTGCCACGGCTTGCTGCATGAGACAAGGTGCAGATTTGGAAACAGAGCCACTGCAAAGGATGCACAGGGAGTCGGGGACGGCAAATTGACTTGCAAAAAAAAAAAAAAAAAAAAAAAAAAAAAACACGACAGGCAGCGCTGTCATGATTACATAGCAGCAGCCAGAGTTCAGCTCGCCCCGCTGAGTTGCGATAAGAAAGAAAGAAAGACAGAATAAAAATGCACCCGTGCCTTGGGTAGGTACTGTGCAATCATCAGCGTGGGCTTTGGCAAGTGCTGTTCCGATAAGTTGTCGCGCAGATATTTCGTCTTCTGTGTTCGCAGTTTTCAGAGTCCAGCTGATGTTCCGCTGCAACAGTAAAATATCTTCGGGCCGTACCACACATTTTTTGTTAGCCCAAGAGATACCGAATTGGTATGTTTCAGCCGGGGCAAGCTCAACGGGCGCGGGACGGCGCCGGGGCGGAGCACACCCGGGCTCCGCCGTGAACATCAGGGCTTGCCAGGCGAGAGTCGGCCCGGTGTGGGTCCATAGTCTCACGAAGTTCGGTGAGCGGCGATGCCATGACGGATCCGGCACCTCGGCACGTGCGGATGAGCCGGAGCAAGGTACCATCCTCCGTTGGAATTGAAGGTCGGTTGAGCGGGCAAGTTGCTCAGCTCAGTTTGTAGAAGAAACTCTCAGGTTTTAAAGTACCTACAGCTGAGATCCTAGGCGGTGGTAGAAGACCATGCATGGAACAACATATCATCCTTATCGATCTCAAGAGGTCATCACAGGCCGCCGATGAAGCCGACTTCCGGGAAAGTGGCGTACCCTGCTTATCAGCACTCCGGGCCCGGCCTTGCAACATGTTGCACATCATCGCCGCTGTTGATTTCTCTCCAGGCGTGCAGCCTGCAAAGTGTGCATGACGGGTTGCAAGTGCACCGAGGTGGCCGTTACTGCTTGTTTTCCTATTCGGGTAAGCGCCTAGCACAGGTTGCATGTGTTAGCGTGTCGTAGCTTTATCTTATCAGCCCCGCGTGGGAGTTGCTGCTTTGCCCCACGTCATCGATGAGGACTCCCATCTGAGGAACCTTCTTCACCAATGCATTTCTGAAAAATCAGGACGCTGTTGGAGATCGGGGAATGCTTCTTCGCTTCTAACGACTCATGAACTAATGTTGTTCAGGGCCATCTCATTGGCCGAGATGACTCTGCTCCTACCAGCTCAACAGGCGCTTTCCCCGCGGAACCGGGTTGGCACTGTCAACGCTGCAGACTTGTTCTTCAAAACCCGGCCGATGGCCCTGCAGAAGGTGCATCTGGGGAACCCATTCTGGCTTATCTCGTTCAGAGTTTGCATCATAATACCGACAACACTCCAACTTGACCCCGCCCTGCTCACGGCATCCAGACCGTCCGTCCTAGGGCCTAGCATCCTAGGAACAGACACTTGGACCGTTCTCCCCACGGCAATGGCTTCGCCGACAATGCCTGATTGCCTGGGTAGTAGGTAGAACCCTGTCACTACGTGCAGCACCGCTTGATCTGAAGGGTCTCCGTCCGGAGTACAGAGGCCGGGTACTCCAAGACTCAAAGCCAATCGAAGCTCGAACCAAGCATCTGCGCTGATCTTGCAAGCATCATGACATTGGAGAAGGGCGGAGGGAGCTTTATCTCTTGCCCCGCACTGCCAGCAACGTCTGCCGTGGCTCTGGTCCTTACCTAACGCGAACACGTTAATCGTTCTTACCAACATTGCGTCTGATGGTTATCCATTGACCAGTAAGCGTCTCAGGGAGCTCCTATGGTGTGGCTAATACGTCGACGATAAGCTTGCGAGCCGGATCCAGGGCCATACCTGATGCCCACCATAAAAGATTATGCGTGGAGAAGAGCTGTCGAACTTTGACCAATCTGCTTCTGAAATAGAACGGGACCTTGCAGCTCGCCGAGATTCATAAAGTCAAGGCCATTCCCCTACATGGACTTTGATTCTTGTCCTGAACAGTAGCTGCAATTTGAATTCACCGTACAGTCAACTGTTAGCACCATGGTTTCTCGAAGCATCCTCGCACTCTGCCTTGCGGCAACCGTTTTTGGTCACGGCGACCACGACGACCACCAGAAGTCCATGTCCGGACCTCACCAGTCTCTCTGGTACAACACGATCCCGGGTGACGGCGGTACTCAGGTATTTAGGAACGTCATTGACCTGGGCCTCGATCGTTGTCTTACACGTCATAGGCCGACTCTGTATTCTCGGGCATTTCCACCTTTGGTCGTCTGCCGTACCAGTCGTGCCTGGGCGCAAAGAATGTCAAGTATGACATTGCCTTCATTGGTGAGTAAGGGCGGAGAGCAGTTGACTGTGTGTGGCACTTACACCACGCAGGAGCCCCCTTCGACACGGGTACTTCGTACCGCCCTGGTGCCCGTTTTGGCCCGTCAGGAATCCGCCAGGGCTCGCGCCGTCTGAACCTCTAGTAAGTCTATGCCCACTCCGGGATGCTGATTGTGCGCGAGGAAGAATACTTACACCAGACAGCGGAGGCTACAATGTGCCATTGGCTACGAACCCTTTCAGCAGTTGGGCTACTGTTCTGGACTGCGGAGACATTCCGGTCACATCGTGAGAAGCCAACGCGCACCCTGCTCATCCGCTTGCTAACTCGAAACAAGATACGACAATACGTGGGCTCTGCACCAGATCGAAGAGGGACACTTTGAGATCCTCTCGCGCCAGCCTGCCACAGACGCGGCGAAGAAGGGACCTGCGAAGAACGAGCGCACCCTGCCTCGTGTCATCACTCTGGGTGGTGACCACACCATCACGCTGCCTCTCCTGCGCTCTATCAACCGTGCCTACGGTCCCGTGTCTGTCATCCACTTTGACAGCCATCTTGATACCTGTAAGTAAACTTGTACGCAAAGGCGCAAATAGAAAGACTCACATTGTGCAGGGCGCCCCAAGGTCTTTGGCGGGTCTCCCTCGGAGGTCGCCAGCATCAACCACGGCACCTACTTCTACCATGCCGCTCAGGAGGGTCTGCTGCGCAACGACTCCAACATCCACGCTGGTATCCGCACGACGCTCAGCGGACCCAGTGACTACGAGAACGACGGATACTGCGGCTTCGAGATTGTTGAGGCTCGCGAGATTGACAAGATTGGCACGGATGGCATCATCAAGAAGATCATTGACCGTGTCGGCACAAAGAACCCGGTCTACCTCTCTTTGGATATCGACACGCTTGACCCTGCTTGTAAGTGGTCGAATGTTCAGGACGTCTGAAAGGATATCTGCTGACTGTAGCGCGCAGTCGCTCCTGCTACCGGTACCCCTGAGACGGGTGGCTGGTCCACTCGCGAGCTTCGCACCATCCTTCGTGGACTGGAGGACCTCAACCTGATTGCCGCTGATATCGTGGAGGTTGCTGTAAGTTCTTTGCGGATGCTGTTGATTCTGGGGGCAAGGCAACAGAAGACTAATCAATGGAAATAGCCTGCTTACGATACGAACGCCGAGCATACCACCATGGCCGCCGCGGATGCGCTCTACGAGATCATGAGCATCATGGTCAAGCGCGGACCCCTCAGCGCCATGGTCAACCAGACCGAGGTCTACGAGGAGCTTTGAGGGAGAGGTATTACAGTATGGTGGCAAGAATGAAACAAGACGGCCCTTACGCAATTAAGAGTAGGGATATAGGACGGATTTTTGGTGGTATGTGGTCCTCTCGACGGTACAGGCGTTGTCGCAGGTTGGAGTTGTGACTGCAAAAGTTGGTGGACGTTGGTTGTGGTTCATAGGTGTGCGTTGGATGTAGTCAATGAATGAACGCTTTTTGAATCCGAGGAGTCCCTGAACCTATCTCTATGGCCCCAGACCATCTTAATAGACAGCCGAGTCCACATCGAAGGTATAGGTAGTAGATTGCAACGATACGTACTCAAGAAAGAGTCACGAGCATCCAAGTGAAATTCACATTGGTCTACCTAATCTTCAACGGCAGAAGCGGCATTTGCCTCATCGATCGACACAGCCCCTGCCGCATCAGCTAAATGGAACCCAACGCTTTCACGGTCCTTGCCTTACCCCCTCGCCTCGATCGCAGCCCGTAACTGGAATGTCCGGCCACCGCGTTGCGAACGCGACGCGTCGTGTAACTGCTGCTGGAATGTTCAGACTGCCTTACCGTATCCAAAGTTTCCACACAAGTTTACTGTGTAAAGACGTGGGGGAAGCACAGACCCGGACCTTTCGGGAGCAGCGGGGCGGCCTCCATCGCGGCGTGACAGGGACTTTAAGTGTTTCTATTTTGGTCGTAGGGCTAACCTGGGCTGTAGTTGCGTAGGGCGGCACGCGAGCTGCTAGCGATGAAGATGGCCGGGGGCGCATTCCAGTGGACTGGTACGCCAACTGCTGCTAGACCCGAGCTGCTTTACGGATACCTACTCTGAAGTCCGCGCAACCAATAATTTCACAGGTAGAGGATGCCTTTCCTAAGGGGCACTTTGTTGGGTAGGTTCCGTTCTTGCGAAACGAGTCTAAAAGAATCGATGATTGGATTTTGACATGGATGAGCGCTGGTTATTCTCGATATAAGGGCGTATAAGCCATCCTGCCTGTAGGCTCTGCTGAATACGACCGCCACGGAGTCGGGTTCGGTTGAGCTGAAGCCACAAGGCGGTGTTCTCCTCTTCGTTTTTTTTCTTGTTGAATTGTCGTACGAAGAAGCTCTCAGCTTTGCCGAATAAGGTTCCTCAGGTGATTTAGATCGGAAAGGGATTTCGGCGCACTGAGCAAGCGTAGCACGAAGCAAACTCTGGCTGGGCGAGTGGCCGTTTGCCCACGAAAGTCCAATCTGAAAAGACAAGTGAACATCACTAACGCATACAATCTTCTCTCTATTTTTTTTTATTTTTATTTTTCCTTTCTGCGCGATTAGAGTACGAAGAAGAGCTGGCGGCTACAATGGTGTGGCTTGACGGTTGCACGTGTATGTCTTCCGATCCACCAACACCACGCCCCTTCGCAACCGTTCTCGGGTGTTGGAATGTGCGCGAGCGGCACCCCTCCCTTCCCGGCCACTTTCAGATTCGCATTCGTGTCAGTTGTCTCAGTCTTCGTTAAAGAAGTGGTCATACTTGAGAGTATCTCGTGTCAGCTTTGCACCTCTGCACGCGATTGCCGGTGGCTTGATGATATGAGCTGTATCTGCGTCGCCAGCTCCCGAGACGAAAAACGGTAATTGTTTGACGGTCAAATTTCACTTCGAGGCAAAACCAAATCCCAGGTCTTATTATTCTAAATTCTGTTAAAATCTGTATCATATCCAAGATGGGAAGTATGGTGAGCAAGACGCAGATCGCAGGTTCATCCCATGAAGGAATATGCTACAGGGAGGGGTTGGAAGCCTCGCTCGTGATGTCAGTGATGCAGCTCTGTTCTATCGAAAATGCCTCTGCCTCCTTCGACAAGCAACATGCGGCTGATGGCAGGGACCCCAAGGAGCTGGCACGAGAGGATGTTCCCTTTGGCCTGCCATCCCATATCCCATTCCTCTCCGTTTGCTCCCTCTCTGCATGTTGCACAAACTCACTCACCCCGATCGTTCCGGGATTCTGGTTGCAGAAGAAGACGCAGTACTGAGAAAACCCGCCCAGAATGCGTGGGCAGATTCAGAGGCAACCAAGTCTCATTGCCTTTTGGAGACGACACTAGAAGAACTTAACCTTCCAAGAAAAGACGCCGACGGCAACCCGATTCGCCAATTGGCAGACCAGCCAGAAACACACCACCAACGCGCCGCTACCAGTCAGTCAGTCAGCCAGCCAGCCACCAGCCCAGCTTCGCCATCACACACCTCAGTTGACGTTTGTCTCAGCGCCGCCGCCAGCTTTTCTCTCGTCTTCGCCTTTTTTTCCCCTTCGAACCCAGCGGGTCTGCCACCGTCGTTTTCTGCAATGGAAAGAGAGAGAGCTTGACGGTACTTGGCTTTTCGCATGCGCTAACTTTTAGGCTCCGGGAAGCCGATCCCAGCCATCTTGGCTCTCTTCCTTTTCCGTGCCTGAAGATGGCTTCTTTCATTTGGCCCCCCCCCCCTTCCCCCTTCTCACTTAGTAGCGTTGCTTCCACGTAGCCATCTATATATGGATCACGGATGATTCCACCTTTCATCCCTTCCGTTTCTCTCATTATCGGCATTCATATCTCACACACCACAGCATAAAGAAACCACATCCCCTCGTTTTGTGTGAGCTTCAACCCGCACTTACACAGGCTTCGTCTATCCTCCGTCGCCTCCAACCCTTCACACCTTGGCCATCTTCACGCCCGCGATAAAACTCATCTAGAAGCGCATCAAACATGAAGACATCCGCTACCCTCATCCTCGCCGCTTCGGCGCTGGCCTCAGCCCAAGTCACATAGTAAGCCAAAGCTTCTCTCTTCCTTGCCCTCACCCTCACTGACAGCACTACTTCAGCAACGCAACAACAGGCCAATACATCTGCTCCCGTCCCAACTCCGCCTTCTGCGCAGGCGACTCCTTTGGCACAGACATCATCATCCGCTGCGACGCAAACGGCCGCGGCCAACCGGGCCGCTGCACGAACAACCTCGCCGGCCAATTTCCCTTGGGCGTCAACCCGTCCCTGTGCTGGATGTCCCAGCCCTACTCGGGCGACGCCGCCTGCGAGAAGAACTGCGTCGTCTACGCCTCACCCAGCCCCTTTCAGCTCCCGCCCAGCGTCTGCACCCCGTACGCTTCCGGCACGGGCACGGGGACCGGGTACGTCCCGAGACCTACGTACCCGATCGGCCCGCCGCCTCGGTCGTCTGGTAACGGTACGATGACGAGTACTGCTGGTCCGTCTAGACCTACTGGAACCGGCGGTGGCGGCGGTACTGGTGGCGGACCTGCTCCTTCTGGGAACGGTACCGCTCCCACGAGCCGTGGTGGTGGTGGCGGCGGCGGCGGCAACGGTGGTGGTGGTGGTGGTGGTGGTAGCTCCGGTCGTCCTACTACCGCCACGTCCAGCAGCATTCCGTCCGGCACGCGCACACCCATCCCGCCCTCGGGTACAATCACCAACCCGACCTCCGTGCCCACCGCCGCGGCAGTCCATAACTCTGTCGGCTCTCTCGTCGTTGCTGGCATCGTCGCTGCCTACTTCATCTAGACATGTTTTTGTTTTTCCTACTCGACGCGGTCTCAGGTATTACCCCCCCTCTCCAGGCGAGAGACATGGAGGTGTCCAACAACACGATCATTCCTTAGCAATTTCATACATACCCACATCACTAGGCCCGTGAAAGAAGAATAGGCCCGAAGATTTGCATTATACATCTTACTTTAATACCAAGTCAGTCACCAATCGCATCATTATGGGGCGGGAACAGTCTTTGTAGAGCCTCATCTAGAGGAAGAGTACACTTTACGCGGCGCAAGGAGTTTTATTTGAGTCCTCCCATCACTCCTATGAGTACAGTATGGGGAAATCATTTGGATTTGAGTCTTTGTCTGATTTTTCTGAGAAGAAAAGCGAGTAACGTAGCTAGTCTGGAGGCCCTGGAGGTACAGATAGATCCAATCATTTACATGTCATTCTTCATATTCTCTCGTGCGCTTTGCAAGTTCTTCCCTTAGTCAGCAAGGAACCCCCCTTTCTTGCTTCCCATTCAAAATTTCAATGCGATTCAAACCTTGATCTTCTTGGAAGGGTGGCTGTGGTGGGAAGCAGCGGATTGGCAACATCAGTCGCTGTTTTGTGCAACACGGAGATCACATGCCTAGGTCAAGATTGTGTAACAATTCAAGAGACTCTTAACAAGAGACGGCGGGAGTAAGTTCTTCAATATGTGCTCTCTTGATTGTGTGATAGAATACGTTCCCTAAGCTCGAGCCCCAGGGAATCTTCTCATATTCATCATGGCCATTGCCATTATACGTCTCTCGTATACGTTCCCCATACTATCCTTATTTCCGTTCCTCGTTTCTTCCTAATCTTAGATGAATCCATCTTCGGTGCCTTTGCAAATTCCAGTTTATAAACGCCGCCCAATGCAATGATGCTGTAAATCAAAACAACGCAACCATAAGAGAGATGACCATGACAGCCAACGACACCACAACTCTTGAATCCCCCGAATTGGGGAAATGCTTCTGGATCTCACCGGTGCGTGTCGGTGAGATACTAGAGCAGCTCGCGGTGCCACACTCATACCCGCTCGGACAGCAGCCGGGAACGGGACCGCCCTCGGAGCCGCACAAGAACCAGCCGCTCGCGCAGGTTTCCGTCGCCTGGGGCTCCGGTACTTCGGTGAGAGGGACGACGACGGTGACACCGTTGCTGATAATGGTGGTCGATTCTGTTGGCGGGCAAGAGGTAGTGGCGCAGTCGCGGCCGGTCTGGCAGCAGCCTCCGCCAGCGCGGGCGAGACAGGCGTAGAATCCGGTCGGGCAGTACGCGGATGTGACTGGCGGCTCGTCAGAGTTGGTGGACGTCGGGCGGAAAGGAGGCACCGCGGTGCCTGTAGTAGTCGTCGTAGGCTCCGGAGCCGTGGTTGAGGGCTCCTCAGCGGTTGTGCTCGTCGTGGTTCTTCTCGTGGTCGCTCCACCAACTGTCACAATCACTGTCACATGCACCGTCGTGGTTCTCCCGTCAACGAGTGTCGTTGTCGAAACCGAGGTCGTGGTGATTGTCTGCACGACTGTCGTGCCTGCTCCTCCACCACCACCTCCGCCACCAGTACTGCCGCTGCCGCCGCCGCCGCCTCCTCCTCCACCTCCACCAGTGCCCGTGGCCGTCTGACTTGGTGAAGCACTCGTTGCTGGAGGAGGGCTTGGTACGCCTCGGTCATGTTAGCTTATGACCAAGCATGGAGGAGCGTGTGAATACTTACAGCCAACGCCTTGACAGACATATCCCGGGATGCAACATCCACCACTCAGCTCTGCATCACAGCTCGTGGTACCGCTGGGACATGCCGCCACGGCTCCACTGCAAGCGGCACCCTTGGGGCAACAAGCGACATTCCCAACGTGCTCATCGACCACCTTTACACACACTTCATTGCTCAGACAGCACTTGTTTGCCGCTCCGATGTAATCGCAGCTGTTCATAGTTGTCGGGCAAGACTGCCTCTTCTCGAGAATGTGAAGCGCCTCAACGGCGCGCCGAAGACTTTCCCAGCCCGTGCTGGTAAGACTGTCATGATGTTCCGCAAAGGGTGGTCGGTATGAAAACGAGGAGTTGGACAGAAAGTTGTCATTAGCCATGCGAGCGGCGAGCAGCTCTTCGCGGGGCGAGAGTGGAGTGGTGTTTATTGTCCCAAAGACGTCGTTGGGTGTGAATGCGAGGTCATTGGGAAGGAGCTTCTCCCCGGCGTTTGGTGACATTTTGCGGATGACGGCAGGGTGCTCTGCGTTGATGCATGCTGCGGTGAGCAGCAACAGCGAGGAAGGGAGACCTAGAAGCGAATGGGAACGCATTGTGCCGAATTCGAGGCAAGCCTCTTTGATACCGATCGCAATGTGTGCTGGAACTGGCGATGATGGTGTTGAAGTTAGGTTAGAGCCATCAACAGGGCCCAAGGCTCTGTGTGTAAGTGGCGCTGGGTCGCGCCTGTCAGTTTAGGGTAGTTCACTGACGCCGACGATCTTTGTCAACGACGATCAAAGATTTGATGCGGAATGTCAATCTGCAGAGGTTCGCTCGGATTGATGTAGAAGATTGAAAAGGGTAAGGAGGAAAAAAAAGAAAAAAGAAGAGGTCTGGTCGGGCATTTAGTGAGGCGTGGATGGCGCCGCGGAAATCGGTGGCTGGGCGAAGATGCACAAGTCACCTGGCAGTCAGTCTCACGCTCCACGCCGGGAGTCCAGATCCCAGCTGCAAGACGATGGAGCTTGCTCGGGCTTCGACACAGGCTGCGACACCTCACCGCCCTCGTATCTGACCGCTGTCAACTTTTTGTCTGTGGCCCGCAGCAAGTACACGTCAAACTCGAGATCTGATCACCCCAGCAATGTGTGTATATCTCGAGTATTGTTTCCCCTTTTCTTTGCTGTCTTGTTATCGGTTTGTTTACCAGTGCTTATTTTCTCGGTCCCCAACGGCTGCGGGCTGGCTATAGCTCTGTGTACGTACCTGAGCTAGGGATTCTTTAGGGGGCTGGGCCTAGCTGATAGATGCCAAAAAGACGTCATTCAAGGCCGTTTTGCCAACAAGCTTTGGTGGCAGGGGCGGGAGAGACACGGGCCTGGACGTTGTCAGGGGTTGGGCTGCTAAGGTTTGCAGGGGTCCGCGGAACGGGAAGTCTGGGGCCACCAGACAATCCAATATCAGTGCCTGGAGGTGCTTGCGGCATCGCGAAGGCAGCACGACATATGCAAGCTCGCATCAAGGTCTCTTGCTACTAACTATCTTCACAAGGGTTGTTTATTATATACAGAAGGGGGCGCTTGGCTTTGGTTCACCGAAATCGCCATTCCATGTCTTATCAGGTATTTTAAATGTACTTTACAGGTATTTGTACAATATGTTACATGATCATATATGATCTTACATCTTCCCACAAGAGAGACCGCGCTAAAACATGCTTTCGCCGGCATCCGCCTTGTGAGCTTCTTTCTGCAGCCTCTCTGTGAGACTGCCAGGTTCTGCAGTGCCTCTCAGGAATGAGTTGCAGAGCAAGGCCGTGGCTACGCTGACGTTCAAGCTGTCAACCGAGCTTGACATCGCCACTCGCGGGATCGTAATCTCGTGGGTGGCCTTCTTCCTGATATCGTACGGGAGACCTGTGCCTTCGTTGCCAAGAACGAGAATGGATGGCTGCGAAAGGAGAGGCTTCTTCTCCTCAATGCTTTCCGGTGTCCACTGGCGGTTATCTCTGCGTAAGCCAGCTGTCGGCGCGACTGCGGCATACGAGGTCCATCCTGCGGCTGCGCTTGCTTGAAGGAAAGCTCCCGGGTCCTCCACAGAGAACAACTGCAGCTCCTCAGAAGCACCTGCCGAAGCCTTCAATACAGTAGACGTGATCGACGACGATGTTCTCTTCGTAATGGCAACCGCGGAAACACCCAGGAACCGTGCTGTCCGGAGAATGGCACCGAGGTTGCCCGGGTCCAGGATCTCGGTCAGAAGGAGCACTAGCGGCCGGGCCGTACCGGGCCTGGAAGGAATGAAACCCTCGGTTCCATTGATCGCGACGTCTTCCTTGGATTGGCGTCCCACGAAGACGGGGTAGCCCTGGGGCTCGCTGTGTTCTGCGCCGAGACCTGTGATCGGTAACTGAGGCAGTGGTGATGTCTCCATCACGATGCCGTTGTGTGGTCGGCCCTTGCTCATTTTATCGAGCAGCTGTTGGTCATTTTCGTAAAGCTTGGTGATCTTGACCTTCTTCTTTTCCGCCATGGACAAGATCCATCTATCGTCCATGCTTTCTTTCTTGTTGCTTCCCTGGTAGAGATAGAGGTGATAGAGTTTGCGTTGCGAACTCTTCAGCGCTGCCTTGACGATCGAACGACCGAAGAGGAACTGCGACGCAGCTGTTGTGTACTGAACCAAGCCACGGAATTCTGACGGATCAGAAGATGCCTCGTGGTCCGGCTGCCTCGACCCAAACCGCCGAGGAGGGGCGGCTTCGAGTTCTCTACGAGCACCCTCCCGCATAGAGTCCATTCGCTCTCGCGCAAAACTTGGCCTCGCTCCTGACTGGTTATCATGGCGGTCCGGACGGCGGTCTGAAAACTGATCGCGCTGGCGATCGGGACGGCGATCCTGGAAACGTTCGCGTTGACGATCTGGACGGCGATCCTGGTATTGGTCGCGCTGGCGGCCGTCTTGACGGTCCTGTCGACCAACTTGGAACCAGTCGTTTCCACTCTCACGCTGTGAAGTCGGCTTCGAAGACTCTTCCTCTTTTGCGCCATTCTTCTCCAGCAGCTTGCCAACCTTGTCCTTCAACTCACCACGGTTGAGTTGGTAGACCAAGCTCTTCTTGCCGAAGGAGAACTCGGGGTTGTTGAACCGCTTGCTTCGAGATTTTCTTCCCCCTTCTTCTTCCTGCTCTTTTATCCTCTCCTGCATCTTCTGGAAGGCCTTCTTGGGCTTGAAGTGGCGCTGTTCGCGGTCTCGCGGGCCATCTCGACGGCTACCGATGGCACTGGAGAATCGTTCGCTGAAAGCATCGGGCCTAGATTTGGCAGCATCTCTTGATCTGCCGCGGCCTTTAGACTCTGTCAACCGTGGCCTGGATGCAGGCCTGGAGTTGCGGTCGGTGCGATCGTTGCGTGGCTTGTCGGAACGCCAAATGCCACGATGTATCGCAGAAAGCGAACCATTGCGCGCTTGGCCGTAGAGAAATGGGTTACCGGAAAGTTGGGCGGCTCTTTGGGTTGCTGTAAATGGGCGTAAAGCGCTCCATCTTGTAAGGAGACTCATTGCATTGTGTACAAGGGATGGGCCCGGATGATGACGATGATGCTGATGTTGTTGATGTTGTTTAGTTGCACCATGTCAAGCAATGTAGGAGTGGGTTTGCGCTTCGGTGGGACTCGACTCGAGGAACTTTTTTTCTGCCATTCCAGAGCTGCGCAGGGTCTGGGCGGTGAGGATCACTTAGAAAATAGACCGGGGCTTCCATTGGCCACAGAGGGCGATCTGGTGGGCTTAATCCCGGAGTCTCCACACCGAGGACAGGTACGTATCCCCTTTCAGCACGCCAATTCCCACTTTGGAACTAAGTTTAATGGATGCAGCGGTAGCAACGCGGTTTCGAGGTTCGTCGCGTCAACCGTTGAATAATCCCACCTTCAGGCCTTGACAAGCAGCTTCCTCAACTTGCGCCATTCCCACCCCCGGCTGTCTGCTTTGAGCAGCTAAGGATGGAAATCGATTGAACTGGCCGCATTTTTTTCTTCTCTTTCTTGGTGTTTTCTCTTGTCTCCAGATTGATTAACCCCCAGAACCAACCGACGCCATCCCACCAACTCCCGACACACCCTCACAAATGCGATCAAGTCGCAACTTGTCGCATCATGGACGACCTTTCAACCGGTGCTGACGACAATATCACAATATCCCTGGCGGGATCCCCGAGCGATGCCCTATTTGGACTGGACACTGCCGACTTTGATCCCTCCCACGAGACAGATCTTCGTGCCGATGAGACCGAGGCGCATGAGAAGGTTGCGGACGAGGACGAGGTTATGCTTGACGACAGTATAGCAGACGAAGATATGGAAGTCGCCCCGGTAGACGGCGTCTCGGTCCAGACAGAGGGTGACGACGCCGCTGCCGAGCCCGCAACTGGAGAGATCGCAAAAACACCGCCCAGAACAGACTTTGGCGTCGATGAACACATTGCTTCCATTGAGGCTGATGATACACACGAAAACGAGACGGCAATAACGAGCGAACGGGTCGATGGCTTCGCAAGTATCAAGCCAGAAGATGACATAGAGCAGACGGTATCGAGATTTCGCCCCTGGAACTTCGAGATAATCCTACCGCACATATCCATGGAGGAGCGCGCCAAGTACCTCTCAATAAAGAGCGACGTCGTGGATGAAGTTATTGAAGAGGTACCTGGTGTCGAAGGCGAACTCTGGTACAGAGTCGAGCTCACTGATGGACGACAAGATACCGTAAGTTGCTCCTCTACCTTATTCGCAAACCTACTTGCAATTATGGCAGCGCTTTCTCTCCTGTGCTCGAATGCTCCTTCCCTTTGCCTCATTCTTTCCTTGTTGCCTCTCCTTCCTACCCCAGCCCATGTGAGGTGGCTCTTGCCTGCGAAGCAATCGTCAAATTCCCATACCTACCTTACCTTATAAATACCTCGACTTCCACCCAAGTCTTCTTGCCAAACCTTCTACATCCTCACTCTCCGCATACAACAGCTCTCGTCCCGAGAGTCTTGTATTGCGGTCGGCAATAGCAAACGAACAGCCCATGCCCGCCTCACAACCCAGTCAGATTTATATTGCTCTTTCCAATCTTCTCAAAATATCTCCTCAACCACTACCTATCCTCGATCAGACAATCTACGGCTCACCTCAGCCTCTACTTGTGCATTTCTAAGAACCTAGCTGACTAGCTGAAGATTCCTTTCGACGAATTGCTCGCGTATGAAGGAGGCCAGTTAGCTCTTCAAACATATCAAGGCATCATGGCTCCAGACACCAGTCAATGGCAAGACGAGTGGGAGGAGTCGATCGCAGACTCTGACGCCGATCTCGATACAAATGAGCTTGACGAAGATGAAGCACCCCGTCAATCTAAACGTCTACGAAGCTCGACAAATCGCCGCACCCGCGAAGACTCCGATTCCGACGAGGATCTTCGGTCCCGCCGTTCCAAACGCCAGCGTACGTCTACAAGACCGAGCACGAGACACAGCTCAAAAGTGATCTCAGACGATGGGATCGTTGACGAGGTTCCCCCACGAGGCCGGCAACTTAGAGAGCGGACTCAGAAACAGCTGAAATTGACAAGCATGGCCTTTGCCAGCATGCCCTTGAGTCGGGACAATGATTTGGACGAGTTATCTCAGGACCGCCCTCGCGAACAATCTGACGACGATGATGACTTTCAAATCATCACCTCCGACCTTTTGCCAAAGCCCTCCTCGGCTAGGCGCAAGAAGTCACGGCGCCTTAGGGTCAAGGCAAAAACCATCGAGCAACCCAGATCTCGTGGCTCCTCAATTGAGTTTGAGGATCGTCGTCGGTCTGGCAGATCCACGAGGAACAAGGGCAGCATGCTTGATCTTGCATTGATGGATGAGGAATCATTCTACGTTGAAGATACAGCACCCGTCAGCGTCCCGAAGGTCATGAACATCAAGGAAGTCTTCAAGCCAATTGACCATGACGCACCCTTCAATCAATATCACTCCGACATCTGCGCCACGTGCAATACTGGTCCTGCTGCCAACAAAGGTCCCCTGATTGGCTGTCAGGGCTGCTCCGTATCATTCCACAAAAGCTGTATCGGCTACAGATCTGCCAGAGAACACATTGTCACCAAGGTCGGCGTGGACAATTTTGTTCTACAGTGCAAGTTCTGCATTGGAGTCTACGCCAAGAAGGACAGGAACAGCCCAAGACATAGCCGGTGTCAAGAATGCAAACTTTCCGGACGGTCATGTGCGGCATTTTCGTCCAAGAAAACCCCCAGACAAGAAGAGAAAATTCGTCTCGAAAATGGTGGTGAAGACCCTGTTACGGCAGTGGCTCCATCATTGGTCAATAACGCCGACAACCTCTTATTCCGCTGCACCATGTGCAAGCGTGGCTGGCACTATGAGCATTTGCCATCATCACAAACGGACTCAGACGTGTCTGATATTCGCCAGCAGCGACTTGCTGAATACTCTGTCGACTGGAAATGTGTCGACTGCGGCACGGTATCCGACAAGATACAGACCTTGATTGCCTGGCGGCCCCTGGGTAAAGCTTCACTCGAATCCGGGAAGACCTACAGCGATTTCAATGAGGATGAGAAAGAGTATCTCATCAAGTGGCAGGACAAGTCATACTTCCATTGTAGCTGGATGCCTGGTGCATGGCTCTTTCACATTGCCGCGGGCGTGATGCGCAACTCCTTTGCGAAGAAAGATGCGGATCAGAACTTGGCTTTGAAGTTTACCGAGGCCGAGGCAATCCCCCAAGATGCTCTCATGGCCGATGTCATCTTTGAAGCCAAGGTGAAGGGAGGGAAAGCAAGAACGCTGGAAGATGAGATGGAGCGCATTGAGAGCGTCGATAAGATCTTCGTGAAATTCCAAGGTCTTGGCTACGACGAAACGGTATGGGATTCGCCGCCAAAGCCGGATGCCGGCGAGATTTACACAGCGTTCAAGGCCGCGTACTACGAATATCTCACTGGCAAGTACTTCACCAGCTCTACGAATGCCAGAATGATAGAGCGCGTGAACAATTGGAAGGACGAGGAATTCGTCAAGTTGGCCCAGCAGCCCCCTGGTCTTCGCCGCGGCAAGCTGATGGAATACCAAATTGAGGGCGTCAACTGGATGCTATGGAATTATCACAGTGAAAAGAACGCCATTCTTGCCGATGAGATGGGACTGGGCAAAACGGTACAGGTCGTCGGCTTGATCTCGACTCTGGTCCACGGCGACCCAAAGGTATGTTTCGCTGCTCTTGAGGAGGCTGCTACATGTTGTGCTGATTTTGACTTTCGTAGTGCTGGCCTTTCCTTGTTGTCGTTCCGAACTCAACCTGTCCAAATTGGCGTCGCGAAATCAAACAGTGGGCTCCAGACCTTCGAGTCGTCACTTACCATGGTGGCAAGCAAGCGCAAGAGTTGGCGTACAAATACGAGCTCTTTCCGCGCGGCTCCCAAGATATCAAGGCTCACGTTGTTGTCATGTCATATGACTCTGCGCAAGACGATCGCACGAAACATCTCTTCCGTTCAGTTCAATGGGCTGGCCTGGTAGTTGACGAGGGACAGCGATTGAAGAACGACAAGAGTCTCTTGTACACGGCTCTGCGTTCCATGCGCTTCCCCTTCCGACTCCTTCTCACGGGCACGCCACTGCAGAACAATAAGCGGGAGCTTTTCAACTTGCTTCAATTCATCGACCCGACCCAGAATGCTGCGAAACTCGACGAAGAATTTCAGGAGCTCAATGCGCAGAACCTCCCTGAATTGCACGGTCGGATCAAACAGTACTTTCTGCGGAGGACCAAAGCTCAGGTTCTCAAGTTTTTGCCTCCCATGGCTCAAATCATCGTTCCCGTCTCTATGTCGATCCTACAAGAGAAGCTTTGCAAGTCAATCATCGCCAAGAGTCCCGATCTGATCAAGGCCATCTTTGCAGACGACAAGGTCAACAAAAAAGACCGTGGCAGTCTGAACAATATTCTCATGCAGCTACGGAAATGTCTCTGCCATCCGTTCATGTACAGCGAAGCAGTCGAAGAGCGAACGGTTGACCAAACCCAGCTACACGAGAATCTAATTTCAGCGTCTGGGAAGTTGATGCTTCTCAACATCATGTTGCCGAAGCTGAAAGAAAGAGGACACAGGGTTCTCATCTTCAGCCAGTTCTTGAACCAATTGGACATCATTGAAGATTTCCTGAACGGTCTCGGCTTCCAGTATCGACGACTTGACGGCAGTCTCAGCAGTCGGGAAAAGCAGAAGTACATCGATGACTACAATGAGCCTGACTCTTCAGTCTTTGCATTCCTTCTCTCCACAAGGGCTGGAGGCGTGGGTATCAATCTCGCGACTGCTGACACTGTCATCATCTTGGACCCTGATTTCAATCCCCATCAAGATATCCAGGCTATTTCGCGTGCTCACCGCATCGGTCAGAAGCATAAGGTGCTGTGCTTTCAACTCATGACCAAGAATTCAGCAGAGGAGAAGATCATGCAAATTGGCCGCAAGAAGATGGCTCTCGACCATGTTCTGATTGAAGCAATGGACGATGTGGGAGAGTCTGAAGACCTGGAGTCGATCTTGAAATTCGGTGCCTCGGCATTATTCAGCGATGATCAGAGCGAAAAGGACATCGTCCGATACGATGATGCCAGCGTTGACAAGCTCCTCGATCGGTCAACTATTGAGCAGACAAAGACTGGCGACGACGATTCCGCTGAGTCGCAGTTCTCCTTCGCCCGTGTATGGGACAATGACAAAGACAGATTCGAAGACAATCTTGCTGAAGAAAATGAGCCCACAGTCAATCCTAACGTATGGGAGGAGATCTTGGCGGAGCGAGAAGCAGAAGCTAAACGCGTTGTCGAGTTAAACAAGGAAGTTCTTGGTCGAGGTGGTCGACGTCGTCAGGTAAACAATCACTGTTGGATATATATACTTTCCCCAAATCTTCTAACAGATTCATCTCAGGCAATCAGCTACAAGAACAACGGCGGCACTGGCGTGGTTACTGACCTCCCCATCAACAGCGACAGCTCCGATAATGACGGAGAATTCGTCGGCGGAGATGAGGAGGAGGATCCTGATACTGACATGGAAAATAGGGATGACAGTTCCAAAGGTAAAGCTAGACCTTCAGCTTCTCGTTCAACTAAGAAAATTACGCGTGGCGTGAAAAGAAAGCAAGTTGACACATCCACACCACAGAAGAAGCGACAGCGCAAGACATCCAAAACCGACATCGTGCAATACAAAAAGTCCAAAACGGTAACTCCACGCAAGCCGAGACAGACACCTCTAAAAAGAACCCCCAGCGCATCGCGTCAGGCCAAGACGCCCTCCACAAGTGGAAAATCAATCCAAATTGGCCTGGGTCAGGTCCAAACCCCAGACCAGACCACGGAGCAATCCAACAAAACGGACGAATCAACCCCGTCTACCTCATCTATCCACCTCCTCAGCCCAACCTTAACCCCATCTATCACCAGCCCGGAGCCCAGCTTTACCAACAACCCCCTCCCGCACCAGGAAGCCGTCCCAGTCGACCGATGAAGCCTGATATGACCTGGCTTGACCACCTGACAGCAGCCCGAACGGTCGTTGGCGGTGAGTTGCCTCCAACTCAGCAGGCTGCTCATGGGTTCCAGCAGCAACAACAGTCTGCTCCTGTCATACGTCAAGCAGCGTCTGGCAACTCTATTGTGCCAGCTACGTCAGGCAAGGCACGCAGACCGTCGTTCGGTTTGTCCCAGATGCACCCTAATGCACCTGCTTGCGCGGATTGCGGCTTTCGGCATTACTCGACCAATTGTCCAGCCCCAAATTCAGAAGTTCAATTACGTCTGGCTCTCGACCACTTGAAGCGTTGGCCATCGACGTCCAGGAACCCTGCCGCAGAACGAAAACTAATAGAGAAGCTACACTTGGTAGCCACGACGAATGATCGTCGAAAGGAATGAACCTTCGATATTTGCTTCAGAAAGCTTATAGCATTACAGGTCCTAAGATAAGATCGCTCAAACGACGACATACAGACCACTTTACTGGATTGGATCGTCAGTACCGACTGACGTATCAGCACTTACAACTTTTGGCATGGATGGGGCTTCAGATAGAAAAGTATACCAATCTGACATTTCTCCAACACTGTGCCTCCGTAGACGAACCTCATGAAATTTGCTCTGTTAGACTTGTTCAACCGTAGAAGGCAGCTGTTTGTCACGTGTTGAGGTACAAACCAGGACTGCAGCTAACCGGGCGATTGCAGCGGATCTTATTTCGGTCGAGCAAACGACGATAGCAACGGACATTTCCCGACCTTAGGCTTTTGTTGTGACTTATTGATTATTCGCGTCCAAGGCATCAGAGTCTCATGTCTGAGCCGTTGGCGTCTTGGTCCGGAACTTTTAGCCGCCCTGCAAGCGGTGGACGACATCAAAGTCGTCTTTGATGTGGTTGAAAAGAGCATCTCGACGCGTTGGAACTGGCCTTCTCGGTCGACAGCATCATAAGGTAAACAAGGTAGAAAGTGCTGGCCTCCTTCCCCGTTTGCAGGGTGGTCCGAATCTTCCATGATATCTCCCGTGCCCTAATCTGGCCCGTTTTCGACTTTTCCCAAGTAACTCAACATAGAATCTGCTTCTAATTCTTCTTCTTCTTCTTCTTCTTCTTCTTCTTCTTCTTCTTCTTCTTCTTCTTCCTCCTCTCTTCTTCCATTCTTTCCTTCCTTATTTACTTCTCTTCGCTCCTGCAGCATGGAATCGAGCCTTGCCCATTCCGCTTCCGAAAAATCATACTCGCCACGGGGCTCCCGAGGCTTTACTCGCAACACGGCACCTGAATCCGAGGCATCATTGGAACTGAAGGCCATTCCTAACTTGCAGATTAGCGACGTGAAGATGGAAAGCTCCCGAGTCGTCTTCTTCGATTCCCAGAACCCGCATCAACCGTTTTATCCTCCCGAATATCCTCAGTCTGGGTCTGGGCAGACATCGATGAGACACAGCCTCGCAAACGCTCCCCGCAGCGTCGATGCCCCGAACTGGCGCAGGGGTATGGGCATGGGAGGCGGTCAAGGCCACAGACACTACAGCTCATTAAGCTCGTCGGCCAGCGGCACCGAGTACATGATCATGGGATCTCAAGTGAAAGATTGCCAGGCTCCAAGCATGGGTCGGAACACGAACATCGACACTTCGGGCTTCCACGGCTACTGCCTCGATCGTGGAAACGGCAATTATACCAGGTTGATTCCTGCCGACTCACTTCCACCTTTGGTTGGTGTACCGGCTATTCAGAACGACGCTGAAGGTCTGCTTGTTCTCCCACAGCCTCGAGGCGTGGACCCTCAGAACTTGACTGGCAGCCCTGTCCAGCCTGTTGCTTTTAGAGTATGTTTGCTTCCTCATGTTCTTTTCCACTCCTTGCCAGGCACCAAAGTGTTGGCGCTGAACCTTTCAGTCACCTCCGTCTTCACCGGCACCGGTATCTGATGCCCTTCAGGTATGCTCACCTGTTCCTTTGAAGCCATTGTTCTTCACATGTTTTGTGTACATATTTTATGGATTACTTCGTTTACTGACAACAGTTGGTGAACTTGTAGCGCAGAATCGATCAGATCGTTGCCACCTCCCCCAACTCGCCAAAGAAGCCCAAGATCTACTGTGACAAGTGGGTTCACGAGGGCGTCTGCGCATTCACCCAGCAAGGTTGCAAGTACAAGCATGAGATGCCCCTCGATAAGGCGACGCAGCACTCACTTGGTCTTTTCCATGGGTTGCCGGCATGGTGGAAGAAGCAGCAGACTGAAGTTCGGCAACAGCAGCAGCAGCAGCAACAGCCTCAGGGCAGCGGAGCTGAGGTCTACTTTGACCTTCGTCAACAATCTCAAAGTGACTTGGATTCGTCCTTGATCAGTGATAGGGGTCTCGCTAGCTCGACGAGAGCGACGCCGTCGTGGCGGAGAGGTGAGGGTGGCAAGAACCCGGGACAGGTGAGCGCAGGATCACTGGCGAGATCAGGTGCAGGATACAGGAACTCGCCTGGTAAGTTTTCCACCATCATCCCTTCTACGGAGTCAAAGCTCATATGAACAACAGACTCGAGAACTACATACCAGCAAAATATGGATTCGCCTACCTCCTCTTGTGTCTGGGGCCCGATCGGTCCGCCTTCGAAGCAGACACCCGACCCAAATCCGCATTCCCACCAGAATATGAGTGCCTTCATCACTTCCAACAACTTCGCTCTGCTGAGCTCTCTTGACGCGAACACGGGCGAGAGGGATGATGGCCGCAGATATGAGTCCTACTAGAGTTACTAGCTTGATATCAACTTGTTGGATCGGGCATGGCAAGGTTGGAATGATGAGACACGAGGCATAACAGAGTTGTGGTTATTGTCAAGGTATCGCTTTTATTCTGTTTCCTGGTTTGAAACACTGTATGTATTATAGAAGATGCGAACCAACAATGGGGAGTCGCGATCGAATGACTGATCGAGCAATCGTCTCCTTCCACGAACTGTGACCCGGATTCATCATCCACAATGCTGGCTTTCATCTGGCCACAGCGAACGTTTTACAGCCAGGTGAGACTCCAAGTCTCCTTACCAGCGCGGAACGGCACAACCTGGATCCCCTTGCCCTCAAATGTCTGCTGGACGACGGCGCCGCCGTCGCGGGTGAGGCGGATCCTCTCCTTCCTGGTGTCCTCGGTGCCGTAGAACTTGCGACCGTAGCCGCTGACGAAGCCCTCGAGGGCCTCCTGGGTGATGTCGGCGTCGGTGAGCTCGCCGCGGGCGACGGCCTCGTCGAGGGCGGCGAGGAGGTACTGGACGGCGTAAGGTTGGGTGAAGACGCCGGCGGCGGCCTTGGAGGGACCCGTCTTTGCGGTGATGGGGTGCGGGGCGGAGTCGGTGCCGAGGAAGAACTTGCCGTTGCTGTTGACTACGGCGTTGAGGAGGGCTTTGCGATCGGCGGGGAGCTGATGGGGTTTGTTAGCTTTGCTCTTTTCTTTGGAACAAGATGATGGGTGCTTCTGCTGGGAAACTTGCCTTGGCAACGGGCTTGCAGAAGTTGAGCTACGGCACAAATGTCAGTCTTGGAAAGGCCGGGGGTTGAAAGATCTCTCATCTCATACCGCGTCACCGACGACGTCGTCGATGGTGATGAAGAGGTGGTGGCTATAGACTTGGTCAGGACTGTGGTCTTCTTGAATTTGGTTGGGATACATACCAAGTGATGGTGCCGGCGACATTGGGGCCACTTGCATCTAGTCAGTCAAAATTGCGAGTGTTCGACAGCATCGTCACCTACCATGACTTGACGGCCGCAACAGCTTCAGCGGTTGTGCAGTGCTCGAGGACTATGAAGTCAGTTGATCAAGTTCTGTCGCGTTGGACAAAGGTAACTTGTACTTACTGATTCTGAGCTTGGGGTACTTGGCGTGAAGTGCCTTCAGCGTGGGGAGGAACTGGACCCATGAATGTCAGCAGACAGACGCGCACTTTGGCTATCATCTACTGGGTTACTTGCCTTTGACTCGGCGTTGAGCGTTGTGATGTCGCTACCAGCGTGGGAAGGGCACTCTCCGTGGAGGCATAGAAGTAAGTCGACCTCCTCCATGGCCTTGAAGACCTCGTGGAAGGCATCGTAGTCGACGACGCCGTCGGCGCTATTCGTGGTGACGCCGGCAGGGTAGCTAGTAGCAAGACTCGAGTCAGCAACTAACATGTTGCTAATATCCCCAAGGCGCCCAATAAAACACACCTCTTGACTGCGGCGACGCCGGCCTTCTTGGCCTCCCTGATGGTATCGGGCGTGACGTCCTGGTGGAGGTAGAGGGTCATGAGCAGGTCGACCTCGTCCTTGCCCAGGGCCGCCTTGATGCGCGATGAGTAGTCCAGAGCTCGCTTGACGCTCGTTACCAGGTTGTTTTGCAGGTTAGGCATGATCAGTGCCTTTCAGGCTGTGTTAGTAGATGGTTCACCTTGACGACTGGGATTCGCGGCGGCGTACCTGGTTGACTCCTCCAGGACGAACAGTCGGAGCGACGATCTGAAATCGGTTTAGCATTCGTGATATGCCCGTTGGTGGTGGCATGAGTTCCATAACCGCGTACCTGGAGCATGTCATCGTCACGCAAGTGGACATGGGCATCAAAGGCCGCGGGCAACTGGACAGTATCAGGGAGAGGCATCTTGAATGGCGAGTGGACTGATGAACGGGTGTCACGACTTCTGTGAACTATTAGACAGGGTCACTTGATAATGTAAGGACTTAGATCCATACCTGATGGTCTCTATTCGCAGGTGTGGTTCAAGATTGGATTTCCGCCGATGTCGCTGAGTAGTTGACTCGGGTCCTCGATCCCGTCTCGAAATGTTTTTTTCGTTGGAGTTCATGGTGGGGGCGGGGTAACCGACTAGGTTCCCCAAAGACTCGAAACCATCAATTATTTCACTTCCTCACTTACCTACCTTAAGTTAAAACACCCATTACTGAGTGTTGATTCGCAATGACACTCGATTTGAGGCGTTTAATTGCTTAAAGAGACTTATGATAATATTCTATCTCGCAATCTAACTACCATTCACTTCAACGCACCCGTAAGAATTAAGCACAGCCTCGGAGCCGTAGGGTCCAACTCGACCAGTCGAAAGATGTAGTCTCATCTAGCGTTTTGTCCATACAGCCTGAGCTGCTTGATCTCTTTCCAGATTTCATACTTACACTTACTTCATATTGTCTCTGTGCCTTGTGTTATCTTCTTTGTTACCTTTGTTGCACTTTGCTGTATGCCATTTCTACGAGGAGGTCATTTGATCCTGCCGCTTCTCTTCTGCTCGGGTCTTTTTCAATGTCCTTTTACCAGGCTTAAATAACGTCCCTTTATGATGATGACTTTAAAGGGAAGAATGGTAAGACCCAGAGTTGTATGAGGTCAGGTAAATCGAGGTTTCTTTCTCTCTACGATAATCTAGTACTGCCCAGGACCTTGTCAGGATGGAGGGGTATTCCTGCCCCACTAGCCAGCCAACACAACCTCAGGTAAGGTACCTTACCTGTGGAGTGAATCGCTACAGGCATGATTGGGGCTTCACCTCGATTCACAGGTGGCCAGGCAGGCGAGATGTAATCGGTATCTAATCAGCCGAAAATTAAGCGAGGTGCACTTGCCTGCTGGTACCAAGCACGGACCAGAAACCCCCACAATGGATCAATGGTATCCGTACAGCCTATGCGGGTACCTGCTAGGTAGTCTTGAGCTTCATCATCTCAAGAAGCTCCTCAGGATCACGCTGGGTTGCGACTTGGCTTTGTGAACTTTTCACAACCTCTCCATACAAACCACCGTTTCCCGAACTCTCCCCTCGCCCAACTTGAGAAATCTCGACGAAATACAAGCTTCGCTCCCGGGTTTCCGCAACTGTCGCCACTGCTGTCATAACCGTTGGAGCTCGAGCTTTCTGGTTTGGCAAGGTGCTTGAATCGTCGGCAAGATGGAAGACACGCTTTTCTACTTCGAGCGCGAGAAGTACAAGACGGACGAAGTCTACGACAAGACGATTAGAAATCATATTCTGAAGATCACTCGTCTATTCAAGGACGACGCGCCGGCCATCATAGCCAAAGCGCCGCAACTCCTCGAGGTCTGTTGGTCCCCCCACCTTTGACTGTTTGCTGCTGCTAACCACCATGCCACAGATCGTCCACCCCACCGACCACTCGATTTCCTACCTCGCGATCCTGAACACCCTGAAGCATTTGGATGAAACTTCCCTGCCCCTTCCGATCGATACCTTCCGAGAACACATCGCCCGGTTCCTGTTGTCGTTCGACGCCCGCCAGATGCGCTACGTTGGTGATATCTTCTACGACCTATTGAAGGATGTCGTGGAATGCAAGTTCTTTCAGGTAAGAAATATCAAAAGCCTGATTGATGAACTTGACTAATTGCATGTTCCCTTGGCAGGCGCGTCAGTCTGTAGAGATCGTTGTTGCCGCATTGAGGCTACTCGATCCCGAATCAGCCGTACTTACGAGCCTCCACCTTGCTGTGGTGAGGCTGGCCTACGAGACGACAAATTACGACGAAGTATCGCCGATACTCGAGAAGCCATGGGTGTTCCTTCCTGGAATGAAGGACCAGCCTCGTCCGACATACCCCTGCGATTTGACAGCCTCACCTTCTGCCTATATCAGCCCAGCCACACAACTCACCGAATACTTGACTCGCGATGGTGTCATGGAGCACGAGTACCTCAGTGCCCTAATCTTCATGACGGAGCTCAAATGGGCGCAGGCTCACAAAGCCTACCAAAGAATCATCGCTTGGCCATCAAGGGAAACCTCTGTGAGCAAGTTGATGACTGACGCCCACAAGCGGTGGCTTCTCACAGGTCTCTTGGCTCTCGGCCACACACCGGTTCTGCCGGGACAAATCAGCTCAAGCGCTCAGAAGTCGTTTGCGTCTCTGTCAAAATCCTACACCGATCTCGCGAGCCTATTCTCAACTACCAATGTGGAACAATTCAAGGGTGCAGCCGAGAAAGGCATCGATACGTGGGCAGCTGACGGAACCACCGAGCTAATCAAGGCGGTCGTGACGGCGTACCAGAAATGGCAGATTCTTGGTCTCGCTGACGTGTATCACAAGATCAGCGTGTCGGAGATCCGCCAGCAAACACTCAGTGCCGAGACAGCCCGGAACCTCGAGACTGACGAGGAGGTGGAGCAGCTCCTGCAGGACATGGTCGCCATCGGAATGCTTCAGGGCTCATTGGAGGTCAGTTCTGATGGCGTCAAGTGCCTCACATTCCTCCCGCGTGACACGGAAATCGAGTACAGCGAGTACCAGAAGAAGATCACAGATGACGCGCGCATCAAGGCGCTGAACAAATTCGCCGAGGTTAGCGATGTTCGTCTTGCAGCCTCAAATGAGTACGCCAAGCACATCATTCGTGAGCAGAAGCGTCAAGACAAGGACGGTTCTCAGTCGCACAACACCGAGTTCGGCTTCGACGCATCCATCGAGGACGAAGATCTCATGACTGGTATCCAACATCCTTAGTACCTTTACCGGGCGGGCCATCTTTCGAATATGACCTTTGATGTCACTGCAGTTCGCGCCTTTTTTGACGAAGTAACGAAGGCACGGAATGAGGGGAGGAGGGCAGTGAGATAATATCTTGCATGAGAAAAAGAGCGACACATAGTGCTGCATGAGATTTGACCTCGGCATACTGGGGGCATCAGGCCGGCGTTACGAGATCAGGTTCACAAGGGATATTGCTTTGATTGCCAAAAGAGGCATTTGCGACACTATCAGCAGGATTGCAAGGGCCCGGGTTCTCGGGGCTGCTGTGGTAGATTAGGTAGAGAAAGAAGAAACCGCAAAATAGTATTCTCTTCTGACATTAGCACGTTTGCCCGAGAACATTGTTTGGTTGACACCATGTGTCTGCGGTCCTTTGCCTCATAGCTCATCAAATTTTGGGTCGCCCCCTTTAACTACCTTGGGACTCTTCACGCAAATGCGCGGACTGCCTGTCCATCATTAAAGTACACATACATCGGTCTCCCTTTCTAGCATTTTTACGAGCTGATACCAAATTGCTTAATGAGATCCGCAAGCTTAGCTCCCTCTGCCTTGTAATCGATTTGTCCTGCGCTCAAGACCTGGTAGCGTACCCTGGAAAAGATTAGTATTTGAAAATCAGTTGCAGTCAAGGGTCCATCGTACCTCTGAGCTTCGCCGAAGGTGTCCATCTTCGCACGGCATCGGAAGTTCAACTTGGTGCAGTTCGCTTGCTCGAATGCCTGTGCCATCTTCGTGTCATCCTCCTCGCGTAAAGCCATAAGATCATCTGCCGACATTCCCATAATGACACGGCCGACATCATCGAAGCAGCTGAGCCACAACTGGTTGGTGTGATCGCACACGTTGATAGACATGATGTACCGATATTCGGGCTTCGGGTGGGCAACATCGCACTTCTCGCAGCGCCAGGTGCCATCGCCCATATCAGTCACCTTCTTGTTGCAGCCCTCGTTACTGCATGCGGGATAGGCAAAGTTCTCCTGCTTGATGTAGACAATGGTAGCCTTGAGGTTGAAGTAGTCTTGGTTCTCCATGCCCAAGTTCTCCTCCTTCACCTGGAGAATGGACTTGTCCTGGTCCTTGCGCCCAGTGGCGTTGCCCATGCTAGCCATGTTGTTATGACTGCTGAACGTGTCATTGCGACCAGATGAGTCATACCAGCCCTTCAGACGGTGAGCGTCAGGAATATCCGGGTCAATGGACATTGTGCCCGAAGAAAGCAGGCTGAGACTGCGACCACCAAAGTCAGACACCTTGGTACCCTTGAAGGCCACGACAGACTCGGGCGTGGCGTCAAAGTTAGTGGCGCTCTTGCCCCAGATGGTGACGCGAACTGAGTAATTCGTGTCGTCGACCAGCGTGAGCTCACGCTTCTCGTAAGGCTTGCCAGTCGACTTGGAGACGATTTGGGACACCTCAGCGACCTCCTTTAGAACGCCAATGACGTCAACGGTCGCATCCTTCTCGACTTCCTGAAGCTCTTGAATATTGCAGAAGTTGAACCGCACCTGCGGCACACTGCTCTGATCCTCTGCCTTCTCAATCTGGGTATCGCGCTCGAAAGTGAGCTCGTAGTCGTTCGGCAGGTTTGTGAATTGCTTCTTGGCGAGCTGAACTTTGCAAGGGTTGGAAATGTAATAGACACCTCCTTCCTGAAGCAGGTCGTAGTACTGGTCACATTGGTCGTTGAAACCAGTCGCCTTAATCTCGCCACTCTCGTCAAGCAGGTTGACACTGAACAGCTTGCCCTCGCCACTGGGCTTATGCCATGTCCGGATGTCTGACTTTTGCGTGACGCGAGCCTTGATGGTCCACTTGTGAGCGTAAGGAGAGAGGGCTTCGATAGGGTAGATGTTGTTGCTTCCGTGCTGGCCGGTAGCACCTCCAGCAGAGCGCGTGGGTATCGATTGAGGCTTCGGTGTGGGCTTGGTCTCCTCTTGCTTGACACCGTAGAAGTTCTGTCCGCCGATGGTAGTGTTTGCTGCTGCAGGAGGCTTCGCTTCGAAGGCTTGTGGCTCGCCGAGCTTGTCTGGTGTGCCGAACTGCTCGACAACTTCGAGGCCGAGGATAATCAGAATGCTATTTAGAGGTTAGGTCGCCTTTCTCCAAAAGGTTAATAAGTAAAGGCAAAGGACCACGTACTTCTTCCCCTTCACGGAGTTCGCTTGGTACTGAGTAATCCGCACGATGCAGTTTCTGACCAGCTTGTTGTCGTGGACAACATGGTTTACCTGCGTAGCCAACATGCACTGAACATAGTTGCTCACATCACTGAGAACAATACGGTATCTCTCAGCGTTGCCTCCCGCCTGTGCGGCCAAAGGCTTGATCTGCAGGCACTGGAGAACGGGGACCGGGAATTTCGTGTTGGCACCTTCAGGGTCGTTGAAGATGGCGCTGCACGCGCTCAGTCAGTACGGAAAGGGTGATAGGGGCAGCGAATAATAAAATCACTCACTCCAAGGCTCCCTTCGTAATCTTTGATTCGACGTCCATCTTGAGGTTTGGCGAAGATGAAATATCGTATGCAAGTTTGTTGGTTGAGAATGGGGAGGATTTTGGGGAGTTGAGGCAAGTTCTTCGCGAGATGGAGGAGGAAAGCGCGTCGACGCGTTTAATGGCTTTTGGCGGGGTTCTTGCCTCTCATTAGGTAAGCTGGTAATTAATGAGTTCCTGCTGTTTCTCACATGCCCAGTGGTGGCCAGTTGCCTGTCGTCGTGCTTGTGTCGTCTGGATTCAGTGTGGGGAAAGATGGAAACCCGGTACGTACCTAACTTTAGGTGGCAGCGACTTCACGCGGGGCAGCTACAAGCATCAAGCTGAGACGTCATCCCTGGTAGTGTTACGAGCTATGTACACGTACCTCTCAGTCCAGACTTGATCCAAACGTTGCGCCAAGGGATACAGACTTCTAGTTTGACAGTGCATCCTGCATTTCTGTGAGCTTACATTAACATCGCAACATCAGGGACTACTTTCGACCCTAGAACCGTTTGCCTCGTACTACAGTGCTCCGCATAGATACCCATAACCCCGCTCAACAAGATGACCCAAATCGAGCCCGACATTGCGACGAAAGCTCCCGAGAGCGACGCCGCCGAGACGATCACTGTCACTGAGCCTGTCACCGAAAGCACATCTGCTGCCGACACCCCAGCTCAATCCACCAGCCCTACGACGACTACGGGAGGTGCTGGAGAGCACAGCGAGCATTGCGTGTCCGACAGACCAACTCGTGAGCTCCCTCGCTGAGCCTCTGCTGTCATTTGCGCAAGACTAACTCGAAACAGCGTCCGGCCAGTCCTCAACGGGCGAGATCATCAAGATCAACGATGTCGATGTGAGTAGATTGCCTGTCTTGCAACTACGAGCATATCGTGACCATGGCCAACGACTAACCCAATCAAGGTCTACATTTCGAAACCCGCCGACTACCCTCATGCACCAGCCAGGCTTCTCCTCCTCCTGACGGGAGGCACAGGTCTCAAGTCCACAAACAACCAGCTTCAAGCCGATAAGTTTACTAGTGAGGGCTACGTGGTGGTCATGCCCGACCTTTTCAACGGTGATGCGGCGCCCAACTCGTCGACCATCGACAGCAGCGAGGACACCGGATCCTTCCTGGACACTTTCAAGATGAAGATCGTCGAGACGGCCAAGAGCTTCCAAATTGATATGTGGCTGGCGCGACACACCGAGGAGAAGGTTCTGCCGATTCTCTACAAGGTCATTGAAGGCTCGAAAGAGAAGTTCGCTGATGCGGTAAAGAACGGCGACGGCATCTACGCTGTCGGTTACTGCATTGGAGGACGCTATATTCTTCACTTGGGCTCAGACAAGAAGGTCGCGACAGGAGGCCAAGGACTTGCTGATGCCGAGGCTGGCGAAGTGAAGACTGGTCCTTTCATCAAGGTCGGCGCGATTGCACACGGTGCTTCTGTCACCCCTGATGACTTCACGGGCGTCAAAGTCCCTATATCTCTTGTCTGCGTCGAGAATGATCCTCTGTTCCCTGAGGAGGTCAGAACACATGGCGAGGACGTCATGTCAAAGGCAAACCTCGAACACGAAGTTCAAGTGTACCCTGGCGTGCCGCACGGTAAGACCCAATACTTTGCTCTTGAGAGGCATTGACCGTATGCTAATTCTCACCGCCAGGCTTCGCTGTTGTGGGCGAATATCAGGATGCAGCCATCAAGGATGCTCAGACTACCGCTTACGATCAAATGTTGAAGTGGATCAAGGAACACTGAGCTTAGGGAAGACCGTCTCGCATGCTTTTTATGGCCTTTGCTTCAGTGATGGTCGCTCGTCTCGCGGCTTTTGATGATATCAGTGCTTTATAGGAACTTTTCTTGCGGCCCCAGGGGATATTATTATATCAATATTACAACTTCCTCGACAATCCCTTTCCAGCTGCCAATGGCACTACATCAAGTCTTTTCTTGCTGCCTCCGTATCGCTTGTAAAGCTCGAATTCCTCCTCCCAGAATTGATAGCAGTGGTAGAGCTGTAACTGCACTTATCTGTTGGCGCTGATTTGGCGCCCGAAGAGTTCACTGCCACCCGCATTTCGAGCGACTGGTCTTGGAAGACTCGCTGCGATCCCATATTCGTGCTATGCGTCCTGTTCGTCAGATTTGCCGACGCATCCTTGATTTGCCGACCAGCCTCTCGCACAATCTGTCGTGCATTGGGCATGCAGGCAACCACTACGCCGGTGCAGACCTCAATGGCAGACCAGATCGTTGTTCCACGCGCATCAGCTGTCGCATTTGCTGATGTCGCGAATGATATGAGGCTGCGAAGGCGGACGATACTAACTACTGTGAGGCTGATTTTTGGTCAGCATCTTTAAGCTCAGTGACTTAAGAACTCGCGGGCCCACTCACAAGATACCGACACTGAACATGGCAATGATATCGAGCTTCTTCTTCATCTTGAGATTCAACTTGTAGAGCTGTGTCAATGGCAGAATGAGCATCCAGACATCGAGCGCAATGTTCATGCCGCCATGTGACAAGCCCATCTTGTTGAGGTCGAGAATGACACCACGAGGTTCCTTGTCACGCCAGCCCTCCCAGATAAGCCATGTCGGCTGTCTCTGGACGAAGCTGAAGACGATGAATATAAATCCGACGAAGAGGTCGTAGGCCAACGTCCACCAGATTGCGATCCTGAATTTCTTGTCCGGAAAGATGCGGAGGAAGAACAGAAGAATAGATGCTTTTACGACGGAGAGGATAAAGATGTAGAGTGTTTGAACCATTAACAGGTACTATAAATTGTTAGCTCATGTTTGACGAAACTCTCCTTAGAGGAGTCGTCCATCTCGGTAGTACACACCCTGAGAAAGGTGGTGATCTGATAGTCGTGGAGAACCCAGATATCAAGTCCCAGGCCTTGCGGGATCACTGCAGGGCTCTGTTAGCTATCGATTTCTTTGTTGACTTCTTTGGAGGGTTGACTTACTGTACTGAATCAAAACTACGAACGGGATCAAGGCGGCCTACCCAGACTTATTAGCCAACCTTAAACAGAAGCTGGAGCTCATTCGTAAATATGGTATACTCACAAACGCAACTACCATCAGACTATCATCAGCTCCCCAGGGAGAATACCTCATAACTTTGACTGTAATTCGGCATGCGAAGAAGGCGGACGCAAGTATGAACATGCCAAGGCTGGTCGCTCTCGATTCATTGCGATAGTCTGACAGAGGAAACCCGCATGCAGTTCTTGTGATATTGACAAAGGCTGTAAATCCAAGACTCGGTTAGAAAATTTGGTATTCTTAATAGTAAGGTGAGTAGAGAATAGTCATGCACTCACTCAGGGACTCGACCACGCTACATCCTTGTTGCACGCAACCCCCGACAAAGTTGTTGAAGCCTTCATTGACACATAATTCCGCCTGTGACTGGTTGGCAAATGCAGGTTGGCTCATTGCCTGAAAAAGACATTTCGTCTAAACTCATTCATTAGCTTCCTCGACAATCGGACATCGTAAACCTTAATCCTCGACTAAGAAGACTGAGACGATTTGACTACTTACAGAACACTGTGGAGCATCGGCCAACGACTGCGCGCCAGCGAGCCTCAAGAGGCACGACGCTCCAACGGCGACGATGAATCGCAGAGTCAACATTGCGGGACGAGTCTGACAGCGAACATGCACACACAAACACGAAAGCCGCAGAGAATGACCGAAAAATGAGAGGGAGAGGCCGGTGGGAGCGGACGTAAGAAAGGGAGGGTCTCCAAGTCAAGTTATTAGGTACCCTTTCTTGTTGTGTTTGATGACGGAATCGGTACCTAGGGGGCCTAGCCCAGTGCCCATCTCCAAGTTACGATTTGCGAGGCGGCTTCAGAGGCTCAGAGACGGGTACGCCAAAGACGGCGTTGGTACGGCTTTTCCCCTCTCCTTTGAACTATTGATCCTGTCTGCTGTTCCCCCCTGCCTTGGGCGTACGTTAGCGGCGTAGAGCTTATCGCCGTCGTCTGCCCTCAATCGTTTCACAATTTCAGCCTGGGAAGCGAAAGGCGATTTTGTAGAAATTCCAGAGCTTCTGACGAAAGGCACCAATCTTGTGAAAACCAGCTCATGTCAGCTTGGTGAGGCTGTCCTTCAAAGGAATAGAGCAGCCTGCTCTCGCCACGTCTTGGAATGTCTTAGGAAATTGCCTTGCGTCCGCAACCAGTTAGAATCCCGCTAAAGATCGAGGAAAGGAGAAACCATCAAACCAGAGACCGAGAGACCGTGAGAGCGTAGCGGAGTACACTCCAACCCGCCCGCGGATCCTCTTCCGGACTGCTGGTCAAAAGCCAAGCTCGCCGCGAGCAGCCAGCCTCCTTTGAACCCTAATCGCCCCGTTCCCACCCCAGATCGCTCTCGCCCTATGCCAAGCTCTCACAGCTTTTCCCAAAAGCCCACAAGTGAGGACGGCTGGGTTGGGGGCTTGCAATAGCCGGTAGATGGTGAGCAGAAAAAAAGAGAACATTCCTCCAATGAGCGGGGGATGCTCGTCACTGCCCATGGACGGGCACTTATCCGCGCCATTTTGAACTGGAATGCGATAATCCCAGTCAGCCACGCGTGGTGGAATCGGGTGAGGTCTTCTTTGTTCTGAAGTTATCCGAGGTGACCGATAAACAGGGCGTTTCGGGGCCTTGAGAGCATCCGGTTCACCGTGGCCATCTCGGTCCGTAGATCATGGCCTCAAAGACTCCCGAATACTAGAATTCAACAACACCAATACAACACGCAGATGGAAATGTTGAAATCCCATGACGTGGCACCGCAGAGATGTTGGCACAAGTGCTCTTATGCCTGGCCGACCAGTTGACATGAGAGCTAGAAAGTCTTGAATCAAGTTCGACTAGTGATCTGCAACGCCCCCCCTACGAAATAGTGCAGATGATCTTTCCCGAGTTCTTGTTCGCCTCCAAGTGCGCATGAGCCTCCTGTATCTTCTCCCACGGAAGCACCGTATCGATCACAACCTTGAGCTTCCCCGTCTTGAAGTGCGGCACATACTCCTCCAACCGATCCCTCAACTTACCCTGATACTCCACGTCCCTGCTCCGCAATGTGCTGCCCTCAAGCCTGATCCGCTTGTACAGCAGAGGCCCAATGTTGGCCCCCTCGATGTTGGGCCCGCCCAGCAGGCCGAGCAGGACGATGCGCGCGTCCCGTGCCGCGACGTCGAGGTTCTTTTGGAAGTAGCCGCCGCCGACAAAGTCGACAATCACGTCCACGCCCTTGCCGCCCGTCGCCTCCTTGATCTTCTCGGCCCAGTCGACCTCCTTGTAGTTGAAGGCCGCCGTGGCGCCAATTTCGTTGACCACAAAGTCGCATTTCTCGTTGGACCCGGCCGTCGCGTAGACGGCGGACGCACCCGCATCCTTGGCCAGCTGGATGCCGGCGATGGAGACGCCAGAGGCGCCGGCGTGCCAGAGGACGGATTTGCCCTTTGAGAACTCGCCTACGAGGAACAGGGCTTGCGTGGCGGTGATCCAGGTCTAGTATATCATGGTCAGCATTCATTAACTGCCGCCGTTGGTGGTGTAAACAGATGATGGGAAACTATGTGCGTTGTTTTACCTCAGGAACACCAGCAGCCTGCTCCCAGGACAGGAAATCGGGCTTGTGCAGCAGCATCTTGCTGTTGACGGCAATGTACTCGGCGTATGCGCCACCGTACGCGAGGCCAAATACCTCATCTCCAGTCTTGAAATTGCCATGGTCGCCCGAGCCAAAGGATTCAACAGTCCCGCTGAACTCGACTCCCAAGGTCTTGGGCGCCTGAGGCGGGAGCGGGTAATTGCCAAGACGTTGGATCTGGTCCATGCGGTTGATGCCAAAGGCCTTGATCTTGACTAGGGCCTCACCTTCGCCCGCTGTGGGCTTTGGCGTGTCGGCATTGATGAAGAGGTTCTCTTTGGGGCCTTTGCCATCCTTGATGTCTGTTTTTTGTATTTGTAAGCCAGTTGTCTGTTATGTACGGTGAGAAGGCATGTTCGGCGCACCGACTGCTCTCATTGTTGAGGCCATTTTGATGGAGTTTTCTGATCTGAATCTCAACCTTGTTGATCTGCACTTTCGAGGCGATTTGGAAAGAATGTAAGAGATTTGTCAGTAGCTCGAAAAGATGAAGTATCACCGAGGTCCCCGTTCGGTTCCCCTCAATGACGTGCATCCGGGCCCACTGACTAATCCACTCGGGCGCCCCCGTGCCGCTCCGTAGCCGGCTCCAATATTCCCGTGCCGTGCCCGCATCGTTCTCAACCCAAAGCTCCGGAACACGCTATCATGGTCACCATACAATGCTCTTGGCCGCCGAATGGCATAATTCATGTACGAGTTTTTTTGGTTTTGTTTTTATTCTTTTCACGCAGTCTGGACTATGCCTAAGTTGCAATGACCGATCGTCTTCAGTCAATTTCCCTGCTGGAATAGGGGCGTCGATAAAGCGAAGGTGTTGGTTGCTGGATCTCGAACGTCATACAAGAAAGATGAACTCGAATAGATCTGCTTCATCCTGAGCCACGCACTTCTGGGGTGTCTTCGCAGTGTTTTGAAGGGTCTCATGAGTAGATTGATTTGTTATTATTTTTCCCACCTTGTTGACTTTGTCGACTATTCACCTTGATATTTCAGAACGTCTCAGCTGCAGAGGCCTGGGATGCTCAAAGGGTCGTCCAGCTGCAGCTCATCGCGCACACAGCATCTCTATAACAGCCCTCAATTCTTCGGTCATGAGAGACTGTGGGAATGAGAGAAAGGGGGTTATATGAACCGCGTTGGTGGTTTTGACCATCGATCATCCATGTTTCTAAGTAGACAGTATATCTCTTGAAAGTTACCATCGACCTTGAACTTGTGGCGCCGTCATGATGGTGACAGCGAATATCGGTGAGCTAGAATCATGGTCCAAAGTAAATTCGTCGAGGGATGGGGAGCTTAGAAGGCAATTTCAGACTAGACTTTCCATAGTCAAGTTCAAGCGAGGACACTCTCCCTCGCCGTCCGCTCAATGCTTTCCATGTGTTTTATTTCCTAAGTCGTGTAGGATGTTGTGAAGCTTCATGAGATAAGGATACTCGGCAGTGGGACACCGAAATATTCTTGCTCCGCGTCGGGCGAGGCCGGACCTGCGAGCCGAATATTAATAACGTTGTCTTCGAACATGGTCACCTTGGACCAAGCTCCTAGCTAGCACAAGTCGCAGCAGCACAAATAAGACTGTCAAGATCAAAGTGAGGTCAGACCAAGGATTCCCTAGCCACAGAGTGGTTCTCCAGGACTTGACAGCTGGTCTATCTCGCGGAGATCTGATGAAGCTAGTATTGAAAGGCTGGCATGAATTAGGAGTTGATATACCGCTTAACAAATGAGACGTAGAGCTGGAAACGCAAACCTTAGGTTTGAGAGACTCGAAGATGAATGGAATGAGTTGGTTGATCCGCGTTACAATTGGTTGATGAAGTTATACGAGTCACTTGTCTCTTGAGGTCCTCCATACAACGATAAGCAGCAAGAGAGTATGCAAGCTGCAGGTACGGAAACACAATGGAAGTGAGCCGAAGAGGGGGGTAAAGAATAAAGTCGGTCAATAGTCCCGATTGAGTTGATCAAAGTCTGTGTTGTGTGGAAATTAATTGATGGTCAGGGTGCGCTGTAACACCCCGGATTGGCCCAGGCGGCCGGCCAGATTGCTGCACAGGCCACTGGGCACACCACCGCAACCCGTGGGCCGCAGGTGGCCGGGAACATGTAGCCCCGCTAAGCCTTCGAGGCCGTTCGAGGCGAGTATGCCTGTCCAGACCAGAATGATTCAGCTCGCTAAACTGTATTGATACGAATACAACCCCCCGATCCCTCTGAATCGAACGAGGGTTGGTCGTGAAGTCGCTGTTACCAAGAAGTCAGGCGAATCAGGTAGTGACATCTCGGAATGAGCCAGATGAGGTCCCTGCAAGTGGTCAGAATGTTGGGTGAGTTCAATTCTACGGCTACGGCGGAGACATCTGTCGATGATAGGACGGATGCCATTTTTTGGGATCTTGGAGTTGTTTCTTGGTCATTATTCTCCCCAACCGGAAGGTGGAATATACGAAAAGGAGAGTGAGGCTGCGAAAAGACATTTGCTGTGTCACTCTTTCGTGGCGGTGTCACGTCTGATACCTTTGGGCGCTATTCGGGTCAGACGGGTCGATTCTGCCTGAACAGCGATGTATCCGTATCGATTCTCCGTACAGATAAATATAAACTGTTGACGTTGTTCGGGGTCCGTGGAGAAGTTGGCCGCAGTTTCCACCTCAGAACGTGGCAGGATCTCGATGCGGTGACAGGCAATGATCAACGCTGATTTTCTCCGAGCGATTGAGATAGAACGTCTCCGCTGCACGCAAAGACTTGAACTCAAACGGCGGGGAATGGTTCTCTACACTAGAACTTGAAAGGAAACCTGTCGCAACGGAGGCCGGAGGGTGCTAGGGCCCCGGAGACCCTTGGGGTGTGAGTGTGACTTTTCGAATGTTTCCCCTGCATCCCGTGAGAGTCTGACATGTGCGGGTAGGAGACCTGGAGGAACCCTGTCTTGCCCTGGCACATCTTTGAGCACCCAGTATTGCTGAGTAGCAATGTAGGTCACTGGCATAGCACTGACCTCGATGGGATTAGACGGGAGACCTGAAGTTTCTTTGTGCTTCAGGGCAGATCTGAGGGTTCGCCATCCAATGTTTCGAGATGTTGGTCATCGTCCATTGTTTATGTCTGAGAGCGTAACCCTCAGACGAACTATGGCTAAAAATGGAGCCTTCATCCGATGGGTGATCCGTCCGGTGTTCACAACGGCGGCGGGTAGGTGGCTCTTGGATGTTTCTGTGAAGAAAAAAAAAACATTCCTTCGACTTGTTTCCTCGGTCAGATAGGAAGGATATTGTGAAAGGCAGCACTGACAAGTGGCAACTGCTTAGAACGGGCAAGAAGCTGCATGCCTGCTTACCTGACCTAGGTACTTCGTACGGAGTACTGTGTGTAAGGGAAGAGACGCATGATGGGCAGCAAAGGAAATTGGCGCACAAGAAAGAAGGAACGCACTTCCACTGTCCAGATCCCGATGGCTCGTCATTGCCAGACTTGGCATTCAATTCGAACCCCTGACCTTGAGTCGGCAGCGGCATATTTTCCCGGTTCGTAACCCACTGCCCAGATTGCCCAGATGAAGTCGAAGTTGGAACCCGCAGGGCCCGAACGCTTTGCACGATTCTCCAAGAAAAGGAAGGCACGGAGTATCCGTATTTCAGAATGGAAGTTGAGGTTTGTAATAGCAGCCAGCTCCTCTTGCCTAAAGAGGCGGGATAATTATGGGCTTCCCACCAATCCAGCCAACCAAATGGAACAAAAGCCCAATTTCCCCGAGATTACCCCTTCGCCGCCCTAGGTGTCTTTCCGTTCTTCATTGTCCTAGACTCCAAGCCCCCAACATCTCCAGTTTGATCTCCCCTCTTCTCTCTTCATACCACCTATCACAGCCCTTGCAAAACCATGACAACGGCAGCTGGTCTTGAACGGGGTACAAGAACGATAGCGAACTCACGGATACATCTCCTCCTCCCTCGTACACTGCAGGGCATGCGGAATAGCTAGCAACCACGACAAGACGTCGAAGCCAGCCACAACTTCCCGTCTACGAGAACACCTCTGTGCAATGCAGACAATTGTCTCATCGAAAGTTTCACGCCGTGCGAACGGACAAGGCTCGTGGCTTGCTGCCCGCCTGAGAATAGCCAGCTGGCTTGCGGACCCAACGTTGGACAGGCTCACAGTAGCTTAAGCATGTTCGTCTATCGGAAAAGACGCAAGCCACAACTTTCGATACGGCCCCGTCAGCCGCCCCGAAAGACGTTCTATGGAAGAAGATTCGCTGCTGGATTCGCAGAGTAGGCTCGACTACTTTATTTTTGTTGCTGTGGGATCAGGCCGTCAGCTGGGAGTCTGGAAAAGTAAAACCCGTCACCGTCTCCGCATCCGAGGCGGGCATTGTCAACTTGGAGGGTGCATGGTACCTGCATTAGCGCGAAGTTCTGTTCCTGAATCCTGACTTGATTCGCACACTGCTTGACACTGGTCGGTCAGCCGTCAGCACCGGCTGCCGCGGCCACAGGTGAGTTGGCAAACACGTCTGAATGCATGCCGCGTCCACTCAGCTAAGGCGGAGATCTCGGCAGGGGACTTGTAGAACGTCTTACAGTCAAATGAAAGATACGACTGTCACTGGCAATGGTGGCCGACGGATGGTGGGCTGAAATTTCGGATCACGGCTGCGCATCAAGCAAAGACTCCCCCGCCTTTGAGCAAGCATCTCTGCCCAGAAACGGCTGGCCAGTGCTATTGGATCTGCCAGCGTGACAGGAAGAGCGATGCGTACGTGTACGGATATTCGTGCGTCGACCGCCAGCTCGCTGCCCAGACGCTGGTCGACGGCTGGCCGACCCGCTGAAATTACTCAAGCTTACCTTGAGTCCTTGACTCTGTTTCCTGAGGTGGGCTCGAGTCATCTCATCTCGCTCGTCCGAACTCCTTGCAGATTCGGAACGATCAAGAGGGCCGCGACCAGAGTCGAGGACTGATGCCCACGCAAGGAGTTTTCAAAGGGTGCTTCCGAGCGACAGTGTGAAGCAACACACCGACGATCAACGAACGATCTGATGAAGCAAAGCAAGCGCTTGCTTGTTAGTCACCTCGTGGCTCTATTCGTACTCTATCTTGCTACACCCAATAATACCCGATTCTTAGTGGTCATCTGGGTCCGAGTGGGTCAAAAGGTAAATGATTCCCACACCTCAATTCCCGCGCTCCAAGGTCGGTCCCCTTTGTGTGCATACTCTTCTCATCCTCTTTCACACACCCCCTTTGATCTCATCCCATTTTGGAGGGTACGTACTCTAAGAATCAACTTCTAGCCCAGTCTTTTCGACTTCTCTTTTGCTTTTCCCGTCTTCTCTGCGCAACCACACCACTCAACTTGTCAATCCTATTTTCCCGACCCCCTCGGCCAAAGGGGAGTAACCGCTTCGTCTGCCCAGCCAATTCTGGACTGCCAAAGCCACCAGCAACAAACATAGGAAGCGCAAAA